TTTCCATACAGTGCAGCATGAAAGTATCTCTTGGGGATTTTTTTTTTTACCACCCCAACATGACCCTAAGTGCAGCTAGGCAGGCTTCAGCTTGGGGAGAAAGATCAAGCACTGGGTCTTTGTCATTATCTTAGACACTAGGGGAGAAAGCTAGATGACTTTGTTGATAACTACCAGCTTGAAGACCCCAGCAGGCCTTCAGACAGTTTTATTAATCATAAAAGTCATTAAAAATGGCCAATTCCTCAGGGGCAAAGTTAAAACAAAACCTTGGAAGAATGAATCAGAGCAGGCATCTCCCATTCCTAAGAGCACTCTGTCCAACTTTCTCTGCAGGAAACTGAAACAGAATATTTAGGACTGATACTCCCAAGCAATATAATCTAATGCTTTCTCAGGGAAGGGGCAAGCTTCCTTATGGATTTAGATTGCAACAAAGAAAAATATTGATGGACTTTGTGTACAGTTGGGAGGCAATGAACTCTCAGGCAGTTGACTCAGAGGTTTGTCACATCCAGAATCAGCAAGACAGTTTTCCCTTTTGCCTTTGAACTTAGCCTTTCCTATTTTACTTTTTTGATTTCCCCTGGCCTCTCCGTGGATCCAGATCTGGGCTCTGCAGTGCAGAAGAGATATGGAGACCAGCAAAGTGCTGTGAAGATGATTCAGGGATTAGAACTTCTTTCACATGAGGAGACTGAGATGACTGGGAGGGATAAATATCTGACAGGAGGAAGCAAAGAAGACAGAGCTAGGCTCTTCTCAGTGGTGCCCAGTGACAGGACAAGAAGCAACTAACAAAAATCAAAACACAGGGAGTTCCTTTTAAATATAACTTTTTTTTCTTTTTTTCTGTGAGGATGGTCAAACTCTTGCAAAGTTACACAGAGAGGCTGTGGAGTCTCCACCATGGCAGATATTTAAGATCCAATTTTGGCCCGGAGCAACTGTTTTAGCTGATGCTGCTCTGAGTGGGGGTGGGACTGGATGATCCCCAGAGGTGCCTTCCAGCCTCAGTCACTCTGTACCCTGTTGGGACTAGCTCGAGTACCACAAACTGGTGCTAGCTAATGTGATAATGTGATAACTACGTGGGCACGTAGTTATCCTGAGCTGGGTTATCCTGGGCTCAGTTATCCTGAGCTCCATCTGGCCATGAGTGTCCCCCTGTTTGGTGTTTAAAGCTCACTCAGATGACAAGTATGTCACTGCTCCAACTTGACTGAAATGCAGATTTGGCCTCAGGCACCAAACCTACAGCTGAAACATGTCAGCTGCCTATCCCATGTTCTCAGCTTCATCCCCTACTCCATCCTTTTGCAGGCTACTCCATACTTGTCAGGATAAAATAAACTCAGGGCGTGTTTATGAGGTTCATTTACTGCATTCGGTGTATTTCACAGTGAGTGAAATGTGCAACAGCAGCAGCCGCAGGCTGGAAAACTTCCTTCTTCAAATGTTTCTGGATCTGTTTCTGAATGTGACCAGCAGTGTCTGAGGCAGCCCATCAGATTAAGCTTTATTTATTGAGCTGTACTTTACAGCACCTCTCCTCTATAAAACTGTGCTTTTAGGAGACTGCTTTACATTTTTTTGGGAGTATCTCTCCAGTGCAGTTGTTTAGCATCATTGCCCAGAGCAGCTGCTGACAATGTCAATGCACTGACCGCTACAAAATCCCTTCTTTCTGAAATCAGGAGTAGAAAAGATCATCATGAAATAATGGACTAATGTAGCCATTCTATCTATGCTTCTCATAAATTACATTTTGAACCTGGCAATTTCAGGGTAATTAGAAGGAGAGTAGCTTTCCTGCAGGAACATATATTTCCTATTCTGCTTGCCTGACACACTCCAGTTTAATTTTTCCTTTGTTCACTCAGCTCAGAGAATGGTAATTACCAGAGGTGATAGCCCAGTGGCAATTTTTGAAAAATGAAATGACTTAGGAAAAAAAAAAAGGAAAAAAAAAAAAAAAAAGACAGGTATCCCTAGTAATTAAAATAATTTTGAATTAAAGGGACTATTTCAATAATTGCTTTTGTCCTATACTTGTTACCACATAACCTATCGTTATGAATTACTAATACAGTGAAATAACACCACAGTGGAGAATGAGCTTAAAAAGACAGGTTTCCTTAACATGTTACTTCAACAGTGAGAGGTAAGTTATATTTGGGTCGACATTTTGAAATGGTGGTGATGCCACAGCTTTGATCACGAACAGCCTTACAATTTTTAAGCCCTCCTTCCCCTTTTGGCCATGACAGAGAAGCACAGGAAACAGGTCAGGAATTCCCATTTCGAGTAGCCAGAAGAAGGTTTCACATTATTAAAACAGATGATTTCCTTCATCTAAAAGCCTCTGAGGAACATAAATTGCAAACAACATCAAAGCAAGGGAAAAGTTTTAGAACAGACTGTCAAAGAGGCTGCTGGGGTTTCCTTGGTAGGTTTCCATTTTTAAGGAGTCTCAGCAATTTGCTTTCCTTCTCAAAACAATTCCATATGTCTGTGGATTATTTATGGTTGTTTTGATTTTTGTTGTCAAGGTTTTTAAAGAAACAATACCACAATTATTTAACATGGGGAACCAAAGTTAGACAGACAGTGCCTGCAGTAAGAAATTACCAGGATGATCTCGTGGACTAAAACTTTGCAGACTTCTCTGTATTCCCCAGGGTAAGAATAGATACAAAGAAAAGAAGTATAGACAACTGGAAAATAACTGTAAGTCTGATGCTGTATAAATACAACAATTCATTATTCATGTTGCCATTACTGATTTTACAGGATGGCAGGATTTTACCAGTGTTGCACAGGAGTAAAGTCTGCTAGATATGTTGGGCCAGACCTAAAGGAGAACTGAGAAAACTTTGTTTAATGATTATTGGAATTAATCTGATGAAAAGCACAAAGGCCAGCTGTGGTCTTTAGATTAAAAGTCATCAGGGCAAACTGTGAACTGATTCATATTAGCTTCCTAATTTAGGGTAAAGAAGTGATTATTATTAGAAAGACATGGAGATACTATGTGCTGATGAGGTTATTAGCTTGTCCTGAGGAGGTGGCACCTGCTGAGTGTAGGTTTTAAGTGCTTTCCCTGCAGGAAAAGGTCGTCATTACTTGCTGGAACAGACACCATGCAGGAGGCTGGTGTGTCACACCTCAGCCTGTTGTTTCTGCCTGCAAGGCCATGGGTATATCCAGCAGTGATCTATATCCAGACACCAGGCTGTATTGACCACATCCAGGAAAAAAGGCTCCAGCTGTGCTGTGAAGTAAGCAGGAAAAAGGATGGATCTGTGAGAAGCATTGCCACTTTTTGGGACCACCAAGCAGGAGATGTCAGTTTTAAAGTCTGTCATTATCCTGGCCAAAGCTTCTGCCATGTTGAGCTGGCAGCCAGCAACCATGTGAAATAAAGATCCTTAGGAAGAAAGGATGAGGCTGAATGCTTTCTTTTCTTTTAAGGGAAAGATCCCACTTTATTTCACATAGATGCATAGTTGTTTGGCCAAAAAAGGAAAAAAAGTGAAAAGGCACATATTAATTGCTTGCTTGCATAGCAGCAAATGCCTGATTCTTAGATCCCTCACTTTCTGCTAGTGAGTTATTCCAGAAGTTATTCATAGTCCTTACCTAGTAATTATGCAAGAAGTATTTTCATAAATGTTACATCAATAATTTAAAAGCTGCAAGAGCATGTGATTTTCAGAGTGACCTCTGACTTGAATTTGATGGCCAGGAGAGAATAAGAGCAGAAGAATAATCATACATGATAACTATATGACATGAGAAGGAAATTCTAAACTCTGCATCACTGATGTATTTGCTCTGATGGGTGGACTTTTCTGGACTGAACTATAACAGCACCAGTCCTCCATGCACCACTGGCAAGGACTGAAGAATGCTGTACTCGATTGCCTTATTCAATGCTTGTGTTGACTTGAACATTTGTGAGGAGGTTGGTTGAAACGTGAACTGTTTTCTCTTTAGCTTTTCCTGATGCAAAACTAATTGAATGTAGTTCCAAATCATGTCAAGCTTATAATGTAAAGCTGTTTAACTTCTTCATTGAATGCGTCTGTTTGAAAACTCAGAGCTCTGATTCATTGGTACAGATCTTGATTATGACCTTGATTTGATGACTGTGCTGTCCACCGTTAATCAGCATGTTGTGGTTCTGCTAATATGGTGATGTTTTACATTTGTTTGCTTATTTTTAGTATATAGGGCTGGCTTATTCATTTCAATTGTAACAGGAGTCATGTCAACTGAAGATGTATGTAATTTTAATAACATAATTCCCATGCATGTGGGCCTGCAATCAAATAAATAACTCTAACCCTGACAAGACCATATCAACATTAAAAGAAAGATATTAAAATATGTCTCAGTAAGAAATTAAACACAGAAAAACTCAGGGTTTCACTATTGCCTTTAACAAGCCTTTCACCAGCTGCAAGGCAAATCCAGTGCAATTGCTTCCTAACTAAGCAAACCCTTGTCACGTCTTAGCTTTGGACACATGTTGGTAATTTTAGAATCATCATGGCAATGTGAATTGAGTGTCACTTCTGAAAAAAAAAGAAGAAGTGCAACTTTTGGGGGTAATTATTCTTTTCAGTACAAGTGCAGAAAGTGTATTTGAACACCCCAAATATTCTCAGAAGCTAAGCCTTGACTTAATCAAATTGCAGCCTATGACAACCTGTAAACAGTATCAGAAAATCTGTTCGTTCAGGTATGGTATGGCCTTAATAAAAAGTAGTGAAGAATCTCTTAACAGAGGTTCATCTTTTCTCTTTCCAGATTTTACCTTCCTTCCATGATGTCCCTTTTTATACTGGCCAGACTACCTGCGTTGCACCTCTGTTTCATCCTTGCAGCTGTTGATTAACGAGAGGAGTGATTGGCAGGTCCATACAGTTACAGAGTTTGCAGTCACCAGTTCTTCCAGCTAACCTCCCAGTTCAGCAGATGAACACTGGTGCACGATATCCCTGTGCAGCTTGACTCCAAAACAGACAAGGAGTGCATTGTGACACTGAAGTATGTCTTCTCCATTTGGGACAGTGGGAATTAATTTTCCATACATTCCCTCATTTAATCAGAGAGTGTTTTCATAGTTTGTTGTAATATATTTAAAAGGCTGGTGTGGTAAATGACTGACATACAAACAATTCAAACCAGATCCATTGTGTTTTTTTTTACTACTGCTCCACAGTGATACCAGATTTTGGTCACAAAGTCAGAGGACAGCAACATACAGTAGACAATGGCAGAAATACATTATATTTCTTAGAAAGTAATGTATTGGCTCAGATTAGTTAACAACATCAAATGCTGAGGCTTCATCTGCTTCAACAGTGCCCTTTGTCTGCACACATAAAGAATATGCATGGGGATAACTCAAGGCTCCAGGAGGGGGCAGATGTACTTGCAACACAAGGGAAAAACTCCCGGGTAATCAGGTGTCAACCTGCTGCTTTTCATCAACATTAAATCCTTTACAATAATTTAGGAAATATGTATATACATTTATATAATACTCAAAACATCAGCAATCTGAAGTTAAAATTTGGCTGAACTTGACAAGCACAAAATATGCTAATACAGAAAATGGTATATCTCTATCAATTAGAGAATTATAATCTCAAAGGACTGTTTAGGTATGCTGTTTTCTCAGACTGCTCTCTGGGTCTGCACAAATTATGTTGCAGTTGTTGCTTTCCTCTTCAGCTTTAACAGAGAGAGGTGCTGTACTGTGAGTCTCTCTAGCAGAAGGAGAAGTAGAAAAGCTGAGGATGATCTGACAGCCATAGAAGCCCAAAATTAGGCTCTTCTCAGAGCTCCACTTTTCAACACCATTATTTCAAAAACGTAGGCTACAGCTTTCATGTTGGAATACCAGCACTCTTATTTCTCTATACAATGGCACTCTTCCCACAAGTCCTGTGGGAGATATTTGCACTAGGGGTGTTTGCACCAAAAAGTTTCAAACTGGAAAAGTGAGTGAGCTTCTTATTAGGTTCAGCAGACTGGGAATCTGCCAGGCTTTTATAAAATTGCTCATTTTCTGAGTCTTAGCTCTTTCACAACATTTTTTTTTTTTTTTAATTGAGTGCAGGACAAGCTCTATCTTATTAAGTGAAAACAAAGGAGTGAGAAGTTGGAAATTGCCAGGAAGCCTGGGAAAAAACGATATTTAGCTGAGATTTCATTCCATGTTTTCCTGTTGACCTCACAGGCTCTCAACACAAGAGCTCTGAGTACATTAAAGAAAGGCCACAGTCTCATTTGGTCCTGTGAACATTGGCAATATGTTATGGGGACAATATACAAGTTTGAAAGGGAAAAACCGCAGCAATGTCCCCATGCCCTGGAGGTTTTGTCTGGTGCAATGCTGTTTAACCAGAACACTGTGAGGTTTTAAATGACCATATGAGATTTATAGTAGGTCATGACCAGATCCCTTTTCAGGGCAAAGTTTGAAAAGTCCATTTGTCTCAAAATTTAAAAAAAGAGTCTGTTAATTCTCCAAGGTTTTTCCTCTTCCTTCAGGCAACTATTTTTGCCTGGCTAGAGTTCCTAAACCCTTCCCAAGAGCCTTTTTAATGTGGGAATTATTGTCCTAGTGTTTGCTATCAAAGAAATAATACTGAAGATACAAATATTTACAAACCCACTCTAACTCCACATGGTCAGTATCAAGCTTATTAGGTTTTCGAAAAAGGGACGTCATGGCCTTAGAAGTGGCTTCAGGAAATCAGTGTTTGAGGGCAGGGAAGAGCGATGGTCCCTGCGGGGAGCTGAATGCAAAGGCTGGAGGTGCAGAGCGAGCCCCGTGTCCAGCTGCTGGCGTGGCAGCCCCACCACGGGCCGGCAGCCGAGCGCAGCCCTGGCTCAGCCAAAGGAGGGGCTGAAACAAGGCAAAACAGGGCTGGTCCTCTCTACAGCTGCTCCTCCTCTGTTCCCCTCCAATGATGGGGTCCACATCATGCTTTCAGCAGTGGGTGATGCTTGGGTACCCTGCACTGGGCGTCACTGGTGACACTGCAGAGCAGAAGGGCTTGGCTCCTGCTGCCCAGCCGAGACTGGGGCAGCTGGAGGGGACTGGGAGGAGATGGGGGCTCCAGGCACCCCAGTGGGGTCAGGGTGGTTTGGAGGAATGGGGAAAGGGCAGCCTGAGCAAGAAACACAGCAAGGGTCCATGATGGACTGACAGAGAAGCTCTGGGACAAGGTCCCCTTGGGAAACTCAGCCAAAATCATGGAGCTCTGAGTCCACGTAGGGGAAGGTGCATGAGACAGAGGCTGCATGTCTGGTTTTCCTCTTCTCCCTCTAAAAGTGATGTAGGAAGGAAGAAAAGGAAGATGGGAATGTCAAGCAAAGTCCTTTAGGGCTAGGCCCTGGTTCCTGCTGGGAACCAGGGTCTAGCTGTCCCCTAACCAGCACCTTTCCTGCCAACAGGCATAATTTTCCTGGGCATGAAACAATACAAACCTCCCTGGCTATGCATGAAACCATGGCCACAGCAGATCCCCGAAAGAGCATATCAAGTGTCTTAAAGGATCATTGCAAAGCAATAAATTTACTTGGCAGGTGTCTATGACTTTTTGAGGGGTGATTTTTGTCTGTTAAATCAGAATCATGTGATTCTTTACCCCTACTTCCCTGTTTTTGTGGTTTGGTTTTTTTTTTGTTTGTTTGTTTGTTTTTTGTTGTTGTTGTTGCTTTTAATTTTATTTGACAAACTTTTCATTTAGAGCAGTTATGTTTGATTGTGCCAGTAAGTAATAGGTGAGAGCTATTTGTGAATTATTTGGCCTCTAAATTTTCACAGAGAAGGGCCTATTCTCTTCTGGGGGAATGTGTGGGTGAGAGGCAGTGTCTCAGCCTGAAAAAGAGTTCTGCCCCTGAGTCAAGAATGAAAAAACCCTTTAAAATCTTGATAACAATCTAACACAGAAGATACACTGCTATACAAAATAAATTTTGTAGGATATAAAATACCTACCTTTAAAATAAACAACTTTCTTTTTGACTAAAATGAAGGAAGATTGCAGACCATATTAAAGGTAGCATGTATCATGTTTAAATCATATGTAGTGGAAAGATACCTAATTTAATTTTAGTAATTTCTATTTATTTCTGCCTTTCAAAATGATACAATTTTCAGGTTATAAAAATGTAATGTCTGAACTTAGACTTTTTACACCCAGTTTCAATCCAGGCCTAATTTTTCTTCTCAGATAAAACCACATTAGAGCAAACATGTCTAATATAACAGATAATATAATCTGGCCTCTCTCTGACTGCAAAAAGGGCAGCCTACTCTAAATATAGCTCTTGAGAGAAGGAAGGCCTTCCATTTGGAGAAGGAATTTGAAATTTCATGCCATTCCAGTTTGGAACAAAGCCCTCCAACTTTGAATTTACCCATGAAACAGAACCTCAAAAGAAAGCAATAATAATGAAAAATAAAGCAGAAAGTGTTTGGTCTGAAAATTTGTAAAGAAAATGTCACCAGACAGACTCCCTGGAAATGTTGAGTGAGAAAAAAAAAACAAAACCCACAACCTTGTAACTTTAGAAAATGAGCCATTTGAGATTTTTGGATCTCAGTTTACAACAAAAAAGCTTCAATGGTTCCAGAGCCTGAATACTTTCCCTGCCCATCAGGTTGCCAGTGAGGGTTTTGGGGGAGCTAGTAGTGCCTACTGCACTGATGCTGTACCTTCTCACCAGCATATGTGAAATAGCTGTGGTAAAAAGCTGTTCCACCTTAAGAGCTTTGTTTAATTTCACAAATGCTTCAGTTTTTCTTTGGGAGGAAACCCAGGTTTTTCAAAGATCACACATTTCGTTTCACTGAAATGCAAGAAACCTAGAACAGTAGAAGCCTTCCTCAACGGTAGAGTAAATCCAATACTTTTCCAAGAGAAAGGAAAAGATAAAACTTTTCCTGCAAATTACATCAAAATTGAGGTAGTCATGAAAAAACGGAGAAGACATCTGGATGGGACTGCATAGGGGAGCAAAGTATCTCAGATCACAACAATGTGACTTCTTGCAGGAGCATTTCAGGCCTGATCAACCACAACTAATCCCCATGGACAAATCACAGGGTACCTCATTCTTTGTACTAACTCATCCTATTTTTTTTGCCCGCAAAGAAACTGGACACAATTCTGTATCTGTAATACCTTCTTCACCCCTCAGAGAACAAAGGGGCAGCCAAAGCACAGACTTGGTGTTGCACAGTGCTGTCCCCACTGGGGCCTCAGGAAGACCTGTTCTGAGGAATCCCTTGCCCATCCTCAGCACAAGCATATCTTTTTCACAGGACTGGCCTCCTGCAGAACCTGACTGTTCTCTTCTGAGCGAGGCAGTCTCCCCTTTCAATTTCTGTCTCCATTGTTGCCAGGGTCAGAACAAAAGCAAGAGCAAGGAGAAAATGTTCTTGAATCTAAAATTAAAAACTACGGAGAACAGAAGGCAGATAGCCTTATCAGTGATAAAGGCAAACCTAGAAATTTAACTAAGATTTCTCAACCATCTTTGTAGGAAGGCAGAAAAAACCAACTGGAGCAAGCATGTCATCATCCATGGAGCTGGTGCCAGAAAGCCCTGTTGTGCCTGGCTGATTACTGAACGATTAAAGCTTGAAGGGGGGAATCTCCTTCCATCTGCTGCATGGACTGCTGCCTCACTCAACAGGAACTGAGATTTCTCCTCTGCATTGCTGCACCTGCTCTGGAGACTCCCCAAGCTACAGCTAGGATGTGCTTCACGAGCATACAGGAGTCAAAAGTCCCAAACTCATGCCATGTAACTGGACCAGGCTGAGGTGTTGCTGCTTGCTATGAATTTTCACCTTTTCTTGAAATAAAGTGGTAATGAAAGTCGTGATTTGTGTGAACGGAGTGGCTGTCGGTTTCCTGGTTTTGGTGCTGTGTAAACCTGAGCTCTCTTTCATCAGACTGCCAGGAAATTGATACTAATGTATTTACAACATTCACTTTTTGCAGCCTACCACTAAAAATAGCACAACATGTTACTCCTGGTATAAGGTCTCTGTTCTCTTATCCCACTGCTGAAATAAGAAAGGCATAAAGTTATCAGCTAACTGTCCTCCTGCCTGTTTGAAGAAAGCAAGTTTTAGCTAGCAGAATTACTATCAGGGTTAAAATCCCTTTTTTTTTTTTGTTTTTTGTTTTGTTTTACAACATGCTCATTGCCTACAGGAACTTCTATTGCCCAGATGTTCAAATCTCACTGAAATATCATAAGTAGTATCAATAATAAGGAAAACAGAATTTATTAATAAACTTGCTGCCTATAGCGGTGCACTTATGATATATCTAAGTGTTCAGAGCATCAATTCCACAAAACATTAGGTCAGTGCTCCTTTGATCCACATTTATGAAGATGGACAGACAGGTTAGACAAGATTATACCTCCAAGGGTCATAAAAATGTAGAAGTTTCCCAACTGAAAACTGATTTTTCAAAGAAAATTATGTGCACAATTTAACTGGATGGCCATATATGCCTTCCAGGTTTTATATTGTTAATGTTTGTTTCCTCTTAGATTGTTGCTGTTCTCCTACTCACACTTTTTATTTTTTGCCTCAGATACACACATTAAAAAACACTCTCACACTTCTTGTCCTATTTGATTTATTCCAAAGAAATTAAATTACATTTTTATAAGCCTGTGTTACCACAAATGATAGCTGAAGATTTGCTGAAAAAATTAATTCCTGATCTGTTGCTGTGAAGCATCCTCGCTAGCACTGTATTGACTCCGTCTTTCAAAACCAGATGGAAGCAGTCCAACACTATGATTAACTTCTTAGTCCCCGCAATTTCCTATTGCTCTACTCGCCCTAGATTTCAGGATTGACCTCCTGCTTCACTGCAAAATGCACAGTTGCTCAGTTTGATAAATCACATGAATACTTTTTTTATCACAGTTATCTACTATTTACTACATACCCGGTGAGGTTAATCATATGCTGAGGCACTTCAGATGCTGCAGACATATACACTCTTCTTCCCAACAGCACTTTGCATATTCTTCATGCTGCCAGCCAGCAATGGGACCTGTTTTCTCCTTACTATTATATGAAAGATCTCAGACCTACACCTTGCCTTTTTACCTTCCACATTCATGCTGTAATTATCCTCACACTGTTTCTTAAAAGCCAAAGGAAGTAAAAGAAAATACGTGAGAAATTACTAGTCAGACCTTTCTTCTAGCAGATAGATATTTTTAAAAATGCAGATGTTTCTGGGAGCTACAACTGACTGACTTCCCCTAGATATCTTTTGGGAGCAAATGCATGAGGTTACCCATAGGGAGGTGGGAAATGTTTGGCTGTCATGATAGCAAAATGCTATCACTTCCTTGAAAAGAAAAATACATCTTAACTTTTCTTTTTCTGTCTTTAAACATCAAATGAATTCCAGTATTTAGTAGTGCTCAAAGTTGCCACAGTTTCCTGGGACAGCTCTGCTCCACCTTCTCACACAATACATCCACATCACATCTTTGGTGCTATGGTAGAACAATTCTAAAACACCAGCAATAGTCAAGGTATGACAAAACACCCAGCAGCAAAAAGGTGAGTGCTACAGGTGTTGCTCACAAATTATGTAGAGGGAGTCTCAGTTTTACAGAGATACCTATTACTTTTCACTCCAAGCTATCTACACAGGCTCTTCTGCTAAAGCCGCTTTTCACTAATTCACAACATTCTCCAGTACTGGAGAAACTATCCTATATACAGTATGTATCATTACTTTTCCACCTTCATATTGTGTAAGTAGCAGGGCTGAGAAACTCCAGACCATTCCAAGGAGCAGCTGCCCTTTGCTACCTTATATTAGGGCAGGGGACAGGGAGGGGGCAAGTGTGAGACACCAGCATTTCCAAACAGCCAAGCTTTCATGCAAGACATAAATGATAAATCCATATATTCCCTCTCAGAAGTATTCTCTTTTTCCTCTCAAAGATAATCCAGAAAGTTTAAGCAATGTGCTAATGCTGAGAGCTGCATTTCTGCCTCTGTGGCAGTGAGCACTGTGTGCGTATGGTTTTCTCTGGCCAACCTTTTTGACTCCTGTGGAGCCTGTGATCTCAGTTCCATCACTCTCTGCCGGGTCCCAGATCAGCTGTCCCAAGCCAAGGCTTCCCCTGGCTGTCACGGATTGCACAGTGCTGCCACATGAAGCTTTTCTGGCCAGCCAGCTAGCTGAGTCACTCACTGATAAGCTGACCATGTAGCTTCTCATGTGGAGAGCTCTCATGGTGTGAAAGGCGACGTTACTGAAAACATCAGTCCAACACAAACATTAAGTATGTGAGCGACATGAAGCACAGCAGTGTTTTTGCTAGCTGTCACTGGGCTCTTTACCTACTTTGGGGTATTGTAAGTTTAACTGCTTCACCTAATCACAGCTCAAGCAGATACCTGAGAACAAGAAAACTTTGTCTCTTTTCACAAAAAGGTTTAAGTCTGCTTGAACAGCTGCCTTGCCTGCCTTAAGTGATCTATTAAAAAATCTACATTGACTCTTACTGTTGCTTTAATATTTTACAGGCAGTGCCTTGCCTGGCCTCCCAACACAAATAGTGTATTTTGATGTGGCTTTGTCTGAAGAAGAGGTGTGCTACACATGCCACTGGACTAATCATCAATTCTGTGTCTGCTTACAGTATCAGGGCAAGGGACTGGGTTGTCCAAGGTCAACTTTTATGATTTTTCTTGCACCTGAATGCTAAATGCATGCATGCAGCCATGAGAGGCAGTGCAGCAGCATCTCTGCTTCCAAATGTCTCTCCCCACAGATGTGAGGCTCCACTGCTTCTCAGCTGCCCAAACTCTTCACTTCTCCAGTGGGGAAGGGGGAAAATTCATTTGCCCTGGTCAGTCCCATTAGGGTAAACCAGCTCATGTCTGGTACGACCCGCATTTTGGTGTCCTAACCGTGATCATATGTGGACAGAGGAGGCATAGTTACATGGAAGTGCAAGCACTATCCCTCCTGTCCAGAATGAAGGTCAAGACAGGCTGTGTAGCTCACCAGCCATCATGAAGGGGGCTTGTCTGCACTGCCAAATGGATGCTAGTGCTGAGATGCCTGCTCTGTCAACAGCAGGAGGTGGTAGATCTAAAAGGTTTATCATTGCCTGTGCTTCCCAGTTCAGGTCTGGACAACGTGTTTGTATCACCGAGGTGCTGAGAGCAAGCTATTGAGCTGGACTCTTTACAGAGCTTATCAGCTGGGAATGGCAGGCCTGCCAGCACAGCTGTATGGCTGCTGAGATGACTGGGTTCAGCTCTGCCAGTACCTTACACGCCTGCACTGAGGTTTGTATGGGCAGAGCTGGTGGGTTTTGCCTGCCTCTTCCAGTACAAGTGCACAGAAAGGAGAGCAGATCGTGGCTGTGAAGTCAGCATGACTCCCAGGTACCACCCAAGCACTCGGCAAAGGACCTGTCTTTCCCTTGTTACAACCAGAGAGGAAATTCAGCAGTGGTATACCACCACTTTCCTCTAAGTGTCCAAAACTCTTCAGCAGACCCACTTGGCCTACACTCCAGCACAGAGAACTAAAAACAGCCAGGGCAATAAAAGTGCCCTAGGACCACTGTAAATCTTTACTTCATGGAAAATCTTATCTTGCACATGAATATGAGCTGTGAGTAAATTTAATGTGTGGATTAAGTACTGTATGGTCTCCCTCATGGCAGACTTTTCAGTCTAAAAAGAACAAAAGAATAATAATGAGTGTTGTGTTTGGATAGAATTGCAAACAGCTGTAATTTACAGCTGGACGTTCTCCATTGCAAAGGTATCCAGCAAGCAAGTGCTTCTGGGTTAGTGAAACAGACTGCAAAAAATTAGCTTTTAACTTCAGCCTTAAGGTCAGAGTTCTGGAACCATGGTAGTCAATAATAAAATCTATTTAGCTCAGTGGGATTAAGCAAGTTTAAGACCTGGCTTAACCACACTGCTTACTGTTAAATAACAACAGAACATGCTGGATATTTTAGTTACAGGCATTTTTCTTCACTTGAAAGCTATTCAGGCTGTAGATACAGGAGACAATTGAAAATATGCCAGCTCTATACCATTAAGGTATATGAGTTAAGTTCTTGCTCTTCCCTGTCCCAGAAAGTGAGTCATCTGCATAGTTTGACCACTTTACTGAAAAGCACAATAAAATTAAAACCAAGCTGTGCTGAATAAACACCAAGGGCTTTTCATGAGAGAATGAAAAGCTAATGGGGCCAGTGCATCTTTGCTGACAAAATAGTCAGTGCATGTGCAGAGCAACCTGTCTTCTGGAAGCAGAAAAGCTGTTTCAGTCAAGCTTCTGGGTCACTAATCTTTGTGTTTGCACATAAATCTGCTGGGGGTTACTGTGTCATTCTGAAAACAAGACTGAGTGTGATACACTACAGAAATAAATGGCTATGTTTAAAAACTCTTTTATGTTTGTTTAGATTTTTTTTCCTCATCTTTTAGTTTAGCTAACTGTTACATCTTTAATAGAACTTGAAAGCAAGAACTGCAAGAGGAACTTCTGGAAAATATTTTTTAAAAAAGCTTTATAGTAAGCTGCCTTCTCCCTTGTTGCTGGGAAGTGCTGGTGTTTGGCTGAAGCTCTGAATTGCTACTGGGACACAACTAATGAGCAGCAGTATCACAGGCGTCCTTGCTCTAGCCAAGAAGAGACAGAAACTGCGGTCACAGTGGGGGATTTTGGCCTCCTGCCCTCCCATTTGCTTGCTGCAGTGAGGTCATGTGTGGCAGGGAGGCAAACCCCCAGGGTGCACCCCCAGCCTTCCCAGCACCCCTTCCAGAGGGGGGAGAAGGAGGGTACTCTGGCAGCCAAATTTTTGCAGAGCAGGTTGGAAAAGCTGTAGTCCCTGACATGTTTTAGGGGCAGATAGGGAAATATTTGATAATAAATCCTAAATCTGAGGCATGATGGTTATTAATACTGAGGCCCTTCTGCTGTGTGGATGAAGGCATCCTGCACCCAGCTACCTCACCACCTTTGACGAGGTAGGGAACATCTATCCATCACCACCACTTTTCTTTCCAGGGAGACAGAAATCAAACTGCAGGATTTGGGGTTTGTTAACTACCTCCAGGGCCACTCCTGCAGGAATGTTCCACATGCAGCCCGGGGGGAGAATGCTGTGAAAAAAATCCCCATATTTCCTTTGGTCACGGTATTGCCCGCACCAAGTGCAAAATCTGTTTTGCCTCGGCAGTGAGCCTGCACACCTCCAGGGACAGGGGCATAATGCTGACTCCAACTCCACTTTCTTCTTGCATTCATTCCAGTTACAGCAAATACTTCTGAGCCCTCTAACTGCGCCAGCAATTTCACCCACATCCCATACATTTTACTCAGGATTTTTTTTTTCCTTAAAGCAGGCAAAAAATTCTAAACAAAACGGTGTTTGTAAACTTGGGGAGGGAAGGTCAATAATTTTGGCGGTCTTACCCTCCGAGCAGAGAGAAATGTTATTCATCCATGCACAACATATAATTCAGCCTAAGTGACAGGCTCTGCTCTGGAGAAATCCTGGCCTGAGCTGGCTTCCAGAGTCAATTACCACTTATTCCCAGGGAGGCGGGGGGCTGGGGGCCAGACAGAGCAGAGGGGGCTGCCAACAAGACATGGGGAAATTTACTCTGTGTCAGCCTGCATGACACAGTACCTCATTTGTGGAAAAATGTAAATCTGCTAGTTCTTTTTCACAGGCACTAAAATGTACAGTGTCTCCTCCCCCTTCCCTACCCTCTTTCCCAAAACTGGAAAAGAAATCAGGACCGTCTTAGAAAGCTACCCTATATTTCAATCAATCCTCTTTCATAAAAGTCATTTAAGGTAAATACCTGTGCAGACCTACAGCCCAACTATAACATTTACTATGGCCCAGATCCTGAATTCCTCACTCAGGCAAGTTTCCCATTGAAGTGAATAGATTTTTTTTCTTGAAAAAGAGCTGAGTAAAACTTGAACACTAAGGATTTGGTCCCCTGCTTATCTGCCTGGAGCACTGCTGCAGTTCCAGAAGAAGTGAAAAAATTAATTAAATTCCTCCAAAATATCAATCTCTTAAAACTTAAGGGGTAAAAAAGGGCATTGTTTTTGTGCATAGAACATACAGAGAATCTCATCAAAGGAAGAATAATTCCCAGGGAAAGGATTTGGAAAAAGTCAAAAGATAACATCTCGGAATAAATGAAGTACTTATTGCTGAGAAATGAGCTCAGATATATCTCATCAAACTCTAAAGCTCAGAATTTACTGCATCATTCATGCCTTCTCCAGTAAGTTTCTTATCTCTCGTTTGGTATCACAACAAGGGATTCTGCATACTCTGTATGAAATACAACAAGACTGTGATTTTTGCAGTAATAAACTCTACACATGCATGACAAATCCAAGCATGCAAAATGTTTAACATCCCAGTTCACAGATACTTTGGGGACAAAATCCGATTATGAGTTATATGCCACAATAAATAGGGCTCAACGTTTCATAAAGCAATTTATAGTTCATAAAAATGACAAAATGTACCTGTCAGATAGAACGCGGAGAGCAGATCTCTGTGCTGCCTGCTGGAAGAAAGGGCAGAGATGTTTATTTTATATTCTGACTTGAAAATTACGAGCATAATCAACAGTTTAAAAAATGCGTTACACACATTTTTGTCACATGTCCAAAATGTTAAAGTATGAGCAAAGTAGCAGAGAGTCTATAGTCAAACGGACATTCCAGCCTAGTTAATGTAAGAGCACTTTGTTTAAAATGCCAAAACCCAGAAGATTGTCAAAGCACCGCACGGTATTTGAGGTCTGAACTACTCTATTTAGTCAATTTTTGTCTGTAGGTCCCTGAAAACTCGCCAGGGCTCAGTTTTCTGCTTTCCCCTCTCCCCGCTTCCTCACTCACACTCCTTCTCCTTTACCATTAGTCTCCTCCCATTCTTCCACAGAAACAAACATCATATATTTGGTTCCTCTGCGATGAATTATAAATTTTGCAAAGCTTGCCAGAACTGCTGCAAACTTTTCATGAACATTGCCATGTTAATCTTCTGGCAACATTTGTCTACACAGTACAGGATTGACCTTTTGCTGGTTTGCTCTGCAGTTTTTGCCTAGTACAACTCTTTGGATGGGGTGGGGAAACATGGTTCTTGTTCTTGTGTTAACCTCCAGGTCTGGGAATAGAAATTGTAGCCTCTCAAGTTTAGTAGGACTACAAAACCTATCCCTGAGCTAGTTTGCCACTTTACTAATATTATTTTCCTCCCTCCTTCAGTCACTTCAAGTGGTGATTCATGGCTTTGGCATAGTAACCAGCTGCTAAGCAAAGATGAAATCCATAATGTTTTGAAAATCTGCCTTAAAGACTCTATTCCACTTGGACATGCCCAGAGTGTCCTATCCTCAGCTGCACCTGTCCAGGCTGTCCCTCACACGACACAGAATAGACATAGAGCTACAGTCAAGGGGCAGGGAAATAAAAGTTTTTATCATTGCAGTTACCAATAAATACATTTTGAAACTGTTCTTCCTGTCTCATCAGCCTGCTGGGGGCCGCATCCCTATTTCCAAACAAGTTAGATGACTTACAGGTATCCTGCTCAGCACCAGAGAGTATGGACGTAACCTTCTGGCTTGGCAAAAATGCTGCTGACAAATTACAAAGAAAAACTTGAGAAAACCTGACTTGTGGCTGTAGTTACATTGTATTTCACAGAAAGGTGTGAAAAGATCCCCTGAATGGACCTCTGAAGATCTGACAGGAGTGAATAGAGTTTCCACTTGGTTCTGGGAGCAGGATTTCTGCCCTTGGGACTTTCTGGAACAACTTGGGCCTGCTGGGTTTCTGGAGAGATGTAGTTTGATGTGTATTACCCACCAGATTGTCAGAAGACAGTGACGTGGCTCACAGGAGAGTTTTTCCTTAGTGTTGACTTTCTGCAGTGGGCAGAGAATCTGTGGGAAGGGCTTGGAAGGTCCCAGCTCAGTGGGAGTTTTCCCATGGCATGAACACATTGTTTTTAGTGTTAGGAAAATAACATGGCAAATCTGGTATTTTTCACTGTTTCCAGGAGGTCATACTATTTCCATGCTCTTTGTGTCCAAAACTATCCATGCCACTGGCTACAGTCTTTAAAGAGTGCTGCCACTCTCCAGTTCCATGGACTGGCATAATTTTTCCTCTCTCCTCTGCAAGGGGTTTGTTAGGACAACATTCTTGCAAGTTCAAATTCAGAGGATACCCAGAACTTAGGTTTAAGAATGACTTATGACTTAAACTCTTTTTAAACACCCAGGGCCCATACAAGTTCCTCTGCTCCCATGCCTAATCACTTCCACTAGCAGGAGGCTATGACCATTTTGAATTTCAAGCTGCCTAGCTTTAATGCCTGCACTACATTGCATCTTTGTCTGTGAAAGTCAGGAGCTTCTCTCACTATCTGAGCCATTTTCCATGGCCAAGTGGTGTAGACAGCATCCAGGTCACCTCTTCTTTTCCTCCCCACAATAGCCAGGGCCAGTCTTTCCGTCTCACACAGCCACGATGTGGCAGTGCTGTTCGAGACACTTCCATGTTTCTTACTCTTGGCTCAGGCCACCACAGCTGCTCATGTGGTTGTGCAATAAAACAGGTTGGAAAACTGATCCAGTCAAAAAATAACAATTTTCCTTAGTTTTTTGGGTTTTTTTCTCCTGATTTCCCCTATGCTATTTCTAACCTAGATCCCTTTTCTGAGCTGCTTCCCAGGGAGAGGGTGTCACATCACAGGGTGCAGTGTGAGAATCTGAATGGCACTGGGGGAATACTGGAGACCTTTGCTGCTGACATAAGATCATGTCCACCAACAAGGTCACTTCCACCTGACATTGTTTTCACTCCCTTCTGGAGCTGCAGAGCCATCCTGGAGAAAGGTGCATGGTTGCTGTGGTAGCCAGAAGGCACTGAAGGAGACAGGCTGCTCTGCAGCCACAGGCCTCACGGATATTGAAGAGACCACAAGAAAGCAAACATGAACTTTGAGGATGCTAAAAGCCCCAAATATGGGAAGTGGGATTCATATCACTGTTGTATTTCCCTAAAATCCCTAATTTTGAGAGGAAGAAGGGCTGGATAATTTCTCTTCCAGGCTTGAGGAAAGCTGCCCTCAGGAGGGAAGAGGAGAGGTCCCTTGTCTTGACCCATTTGGTTGTGCTAACTGAGCCAGGAGACTCTGTGCGAACTGCAGCCTCAAGTGCCAGTCCTCAGGTTCCATCTTGATGCATTCAGTTGCTGAAAGCTTTGAAAAGGTGATCACGTCTGGACAAGAAAATGGGTTCAGATGACAGGCAGGGACACAGAAAGAAATGTACAAGTGGGTTTCAGTGAGATCATTCTACTTTTTCAATTACCCTCTCATTTTAAGTCCTTTAATAAACATCTTTTTCCACTGAGGTGCAATGCAGATTGCATGGGGCACCTCAGTCTTCATCTGGTGGTCACACATTCTCTAAATGAGACTATTGATTTCTTTCTTACACAGGCTGGAAATACAACTGTGTTGGACTGCATATTTGTGTGACCCCCTGAGTTGGTAATGGCCCTATTTCTAAATGATGGGGGAATAAGATCCAGTCACAAGTTTATTCTTCCTCCCTGGAGAAAAAGATCTATTGCCTGCAATGAAAGGCAGTTAGCAACTATCCAGCAATTTTAATTCTAGCCTATATTGCTCCCCTCTCCTGGAGAAAGTGAGCTGTTGTAATTAAAGGTAGTTAGCAGTTCCCTAGCAAGTATAAATACTTGCAGCCACTAATTGCAATCTGGTCTCCTGTTCCCCTCCTTGCCACTGGACTGGGCTGCTCAATTTAGGGGGAATTATCTGCCCTCACTTCTTGCTAACAGTTTATGAACCCATTCAAATTCATTCAGGAATCCCCATGGAGGGTTATGACCCATAGTTTGAAGAACTCACAGCTATAGAAACCGGGTTTTTTGTGATTTATTATGTTTCTAATATGCTGGTATTATCTATCTAACAATGTAAGCAAAGGGGTGGTACTTAGTATAATATAATGCCTGCATGACTATTTTTTTAATAGCTACATTTTGATTGTGCTATTTAATTTGCATTTTATTTTACATCGTTAACAACTTTACTGAGTACAACTCATCATCCATCAAGAAATCTGAGAATATGTTCTACAGTCTTTATTATTCCTGGAAGTAAGTTACTATGCTGGTTATAGAAATTTGGGATAAGAAATAATTTTGATATTGCTGACAGAATTTAAATATCTACAGGACTTAGCACTAAAAAGTGCTTTATGGGAAGCTTAATATTCTCTTGATAAGTGGTAGAAAGTGTTCACTAGCAAGGAACATAATCCTGAATTTTCAGTTCTTGGAATCAGTGGGGTTACTAAATGGAGGAAGATTCTCGTCAATATGAACATGGATATTGGAGGCCAACTTACCACACAGTAACTTAAATGCTGAGTAGGAAGCAGGGAAGGGAAAAGACCAATCACTCAGGTGTTTCAGGTACTTCAGCTAGAGAAACTAGCCACAGTAAATTAGTATGAATTTTGCTGTTTCACTACATCAAGAATTGCAAATTACAGGACAGTGGCTGGTAAGACTTCTTTGATTCCCATCTGAGCTGGTTCAGATACAATTAAGGCAGAGTTTCATTGATCTGTCTATAGGGTATTAATCATTCATGGAAGATTCTAGCTGTACCCCAAGACTACTGGGACAAAACAAGTTTTCAGCCAGCAGTAATCATGGTCAGGTTCTCAATCTCCAGAGATTTCATCTCCTTTCTCTATCCTTTATTGCAGTGAGCCAGAGCTTGGGAACATATTCAGGTTTCAGTGTGTGTTAAATGAGCTACCAAAATTAGCTTGAAGTGTGACAAGTTGCAATCTGTTGTTGAAGGGAAATCAGAGAGGAAATTAAATACTTTTATTGTAATTGGGACTGAGCAGTGAGCTAGCTCATTGTAATTGGGTCTGAGCAGTGTGCAGAACGGGTTGAATACAGCTATTGAGATGGAGATACAGGAGTGTTAAAAGTGTTCCCCAGAAATCCCTCTTTTTTAATTTTCTGCAAAAGGATTTCTTCATAAACTGCTGGGCTCACAGGCATTTTTGGATAAGAAACAAATGAAAACTACTGAAGTATGTTCTGTTGGGCTTGGAAGACTGTCATGGAGGCACTGCAGGCTGACTGTAGATGCATTTTCCTATACCTCACCCACAGCAACCTTTGGCAAATAAAAGCCAATAAATTGGCTGTTGGCAGATTCAGACATTTTGCTTTTCATCTTGCCTGTCCTGTGGATTAACTGCTGTTTTTGTGAGAGAGCTCAGTTACAGTGACTGTATGGAGTTACATGAGCTACACCAGAGACTTCCCTGAGATGGCACAGGTGTACATGTGGTGAGAATTTGAACCATTTCTTTTGTGACAGCGAAGCAATACATGCTGCCTGTGCATGAGTAAATTGCATAGCTTCCATACCATCTTGTTTGTCTTCCTTGGGTGGTAGATGCTGCCCTGGAACTGTGCAGTGAACCATTTATTCTCT